CTGCTACCATGTAATGTTGTTCTTATTGTTATGTCATGTGATAAAGCACAGTACTGGAATGATGTACGAATCTATCGGGCTTGTTGAACAACGTAACATTTAATGCAATATGGTTAACCACAAATCCTTGTCTAGGCATTACAAGGCGAGCGTAGCAACACTCGTATGAAGCGCCATAGGCGTATCATCACAGCCTCCTCTTTAGTAATTAACTCATAACATAACAAAATACATTTATTATTGACACTGAATTGGTAACAGTCAGTGTACGTTTTTTTTTTTTTTTTTTTTTTTTATAGTGTTCAGTTTTATCTTTAACATGAGTTCAGATTATGAGTCTATTGATTTTGAATAAGTGGTTTTCTTTTAGATTTATTAGTGCAAGTATTTTTTATATGGATTCTATCAGTCTTTTTGGTTTCTTAATATCTCGGCTGTTGTGTTTGTTGTGTTTGTGTCGTCAGTTGCATGATCCATAAATCTTACTCGCTTTGAGTGCAGCTTATGAAGGTGTTTTCTGTGCCGTCTGAGTTTCCACCCAATATGATCTTGGTTCCTTGCAGATTTTTCGTACAGTTGCTTGTGTCCATTCCTTGTTTGGGGGGTCTTGTACTGTCTCTTGTTCTCCTTTTCTCAATGAACAAGGTTTTTAACTCCTCGTTTGTCATGATAGGTCTTTTGCATGGTTTGTCGTTGGATAAATCTGTTGGAGACTTTGTTGTGGTGATCGTCGTCTTGACACCTTATTGGTGGATTGCTCCTCACTTTCCGGTTACAGTATACAGTAATTATGTGGGTGGTGGAAGGTAACTGTCTATCGGTGTTGTCCTCAAGCACAATAGTGCTATGAATGGGTCTCAGCCACTGTCTTTTGACTTCTGTAGTGTGCTTTTCACTGTTTGTATGGTTCTTTCAATAAACCCATTACTTCTTGGGTAGTGTGGGCTGGATGTTACATGTTCAATCCCCTACTTGTTCACAAAATTTCGGAACTCGATACTGCTAAAGTGTGGACCGTTGTCGATTACAATTTTGTTTGGAATACCATGCTCACTGAATATAGATTTGGTCCTCTTGAAGACTGCCATGCTAGTGCTTCGTTTTCCAATCTTTTTTACAAAGGAAAATTTAGAGTAATAATCAGCAACAGCAAGGTATTCTTCTCCATGAAAATAAAACTGCTGCGACGACTTGCCAAGGTCCTTCAGATATTTTGTGCTGCATTAATAGTTCTGGTTGCTGTGATTTCATGTGTGATTGACACACAGTGCAGTTTTTGACCACATCCTCTATATCACGGTTGATTCCGGGCCAAAACACAAATTATTTTGCTCGTAGTTGGGTTTTGACTATACCTTAGTGGTCGGTGTGGAGATTTTCAGGATGCCTGGTCTTAGTTTCTCTTGTACTATTATTATGTTTCCTTGTAGTATAAGGTCATCTTCAGTTGCTAATGAATTTCTGCTTGACCAAAACATTCTGATGCATTTTGGTAACTTCTTTGGTTTATCTGGCCATCCGTATATGATGGTGTCCATTAGGGGTTTAAGAGTTACACTTTGTTTGGTCTCTTCTTGCATCTCTGCTAGCTTTTGAACTGTAAATTGTACGATGTGGAAAGTTCTATAAAATTCTATCTCCATATGATGGGTTGAGTCTTGACATTGTGTCAGGTAGTGTGATGTCTTTCCCTGGTAGGTAAGTTATTTGCACATCATATGGTTGTAGATGGATCATCATTCCTTGGAGTCTTGGCGGAGTGTTTGCTAGGTTTTTATATTGGATGTTTTCCAGTGGTTTATGGTCAGTTTCAACGGTGAATTTTGTTCCATACACATATGTGTGGAATCTTGTACAGCCAGATAAAACTGTGAATAACTCACGCTCAATGTTTGCATACCTCTTTTCTGTTTCAGTTAGGGCTTTGCTGGCAAAGGCAATTGGTTTTCCATTCTGGATTAGAGCTTCGCCTAAATCCTTCATTGAGGCATCTACTTGGATAACTATAGGCTTATTTGGTTGGAAATAAGTCGGAGTACAGCTTTCTGTTATGAGTGCCTTAACTTTTTCAAACGCTGTTTGAAGTGATGCTGTCCTGGATTGCCATTCCGAGTCTTTTCTGGTTAGAGCTCTGAGTGTGTCTGTGTGTCCTGCCAATTTCGGTATAAATGGGGACATGTATTGCACAATCCCTAGGAACTGCTGTAGCTCAGTGACAGATGTTGGGCTTGGTAGTGAGTGAATGTCTTGTACTTTCTGTGGATCTGGATTTATACGATCTGCATCGTAGGGACATCCAAAAAAAATCACGCATTTTGTTTTGATGTCACATTTTTCAATGTTGAAGACAAGACCGTATCTTCTTGCAATCTTTATGAGATTGTGTAAGTTTTGGTCGTGTTCTCTGTCGTTACGTCCACAAACAACCACGTCATTGGCGATTCCGATTGTTCCAGGGCACGTCTTTTCTTGAAATATGTCCTCTGACACCTTGAGTCCAAATGGTAGGCGATTAAACCTGAATCTTTCAAATGGGGAGTTGAATGTAGTTAAAAGGTTGTAACCAGTTTAGTTCCTTTCAACGCAATTTTGAGTCACATTTTTCAAAAATAACATTCAATATATAATTTCATATGTTAGTCAGGTATAAACTATAAAATAAATGTACAATAATACCAAAGAACCGCATTAAATAATAAATACTAAAATTACAAACGATTATAAACCCATGTATAGGCTAACCAAGTATACAAACAAGAAAATGAATTAACATTAGTATGCTATTATGTATCAACAAAGCCTTTTTGGCTCAATGTGCTAGATCGAGGACCCATTGGGTAGGAGGCCTTATGGATCCCTAGTGGTCTGGGGCCCCGCACAAGAGCGCATAGGCGTTACGTCACTGCGTGAAGGATGCATGCGTATGCGTATATGAAATTGAACTGCTGTTTAGTTAGAATGCGCATGTGACTGTTTCTATGTGTACGTTAAACAAGAATTACAATTATTTAAAAAATTTTATTTACAAAGTAAAATAATAAATTTATATTTTAAGTCATGTAATTACAATATAAATTATTATTATTATTATTATTATTATTATTATTATTATTATTAGCAAATCTTCTCTATGATCCAAATTCAATAATGAAATGATTACGAATATTATTGTTTTTTTTATATTCTAATAAAATATTTAGAAAATGTATTATATATATATAGATTTAGATGGAAATGTAAGTTGTTGTTTGCTTAGTGAACACAGTTGATTCGAGTAAACTGTGCATTTATACCTTTTTGGTCTCTTATACACATTTGCTATAAATAAATGTTGTAGTTGTGCCTCTTTGCCATAGTTATTTGCTAAATAATCGTTTTAGTTGTCCCTCTTTGTCACTGTTATTTCTAGTTAAAATGTGAATTGTTATTCTGCCATGGTTAAATATTTTTATTAAACAGTTACTATTTTCCTATAGTTTATTTCCATAGTATTAAACTGTTGTCATTCAAAAAAAGGCAAGATTATATAGCATAAATTAACTAGGCTTATCATGTTTGCCTAACATTAACTAGACATATGCTACTGTCAAGAATCATACTATTTAACCAATTTCTATTTACAAATTGTGAGTACACAAACAGTAAGAATAATAAAAATAATACAACTTAACATGCAACCTTCATTGTAACCAGGGAGAAAGCTCTCTTCAGATTGGTTGGCTGTTGAAAGAACGTCACGCTTCAGCGTATCACAGCCTATCTTTGCAGTTATGCCCTTTTGCCTTGGGAATTTACTGAAAATTGTGTAGTTATGCCCTTTTGCCATGCCCCTTTCTAGCTCGGGGGACACTTTTTTACAATTTTTTTTTTGTGTCAACATGTGTAACATGATGTACTGACCCCACTAGGCTATATAACTCATTTTCGCCAAAAATGTCAGTTATGCCCTTTTGCCATGGGGGGGGGGGGCAGAACTGTAATTGTGGTACTTTCTTTTCATTGCTCTATTCAAGTATTTTGGGTCAAGACAGATTCTCAGCTTCCTATTGCTCTTGCGGCTGTAGGTTATTGATAAGACCCAGTCGTTTGGTTCGGTGACTTTAGTTATTATTCCTTCATTTAGCATATTGGTCAGCTCTGCTTCCAGCTCATTGTTGAGGTGACTTGGGTATTTTCTCGGACGGTGGACTACAGGCTGTGCATCTCCGATTAGGGTGATGTTGAATTCTCCTGGAAATCTTCCAATACCTTTAAATCTGTCAGGGTATTGATTCTGTAGATCGTTTCTGTCTTTGATTGATACATCACAATTTTCATTTGTATCGACTGCACAGTTGATAGTTACAAGTTTCAAATCTCTGGCATCAGGGATTCCTAGGATAACTGGTCCTTCAACACTGCATACATAGAAGTTTTAACCATGACCACAGATTGCCACTGAATTTGGCTTGTATCTGGACTGTGCCATGTTGCCAGATTATTGTTCCATTGTATGCTGTCAGTTTGACCTTGCTCACCTTGTTTTTTCCCGATTTGGGGAGCCCATTTGTGTTGACACTTTCCGGTACCACCTGTTTATATATGCGCAGGGGGAGTATGTTACCCTGGGCACCTGTGTCAACTTTTACGGAAAGAGTATGTATTCCATTTCTCTGTGGTATTTGAATTGTAAGTCAGCTTTGTCGTCTATTCCAACTGAACTGAACGAAAACTCTTCAAATTGCTCCATAACATTATTATCTTCTTCCACATCCTTTACATGTTGTGCCATAGACTGGGCACTGTTTATGTGCATGGCTGTTACTACAATTACCACAACTTGCTTGATGTCTTACTGAGTAAACAAGGGCACCTGTTTCTCTCATGTGGTCGGGTGGATCAATGGCGTTGCATAAGACTTCGTAATTTCTGCATCTCTGCACAACTGCAAGGCTTTCTCTAAGCTTAAATCATCTTCTCTGAGAAGGCGTTCACGGAGTTGATTGTCTGGGATACTGCATATGATTCTATCTCTTATCGATGAGTCAGTAATTCACTAAACTTACATGATTTTAATTTGTTTCTGAGTTCCGTGGCATATTGGTCAATTGTTTCTGAAGAAAGTTGGGATCTAGTGAAAAAATTATGCTTTTCGATGGTCACATTCTTTTTGGGTAAACAGTACTTTTCAAATTGTTAGAGCACTTTCCTAAGCTTCATGTTGTCTCCATCGTTACCAAAGGTAAATTTCTTATACACATCTAAGGCACTTTCTCCCATAATATGTAGCAACATTGATGTCTGGGTAGTGTCATCTTTTCTGGCGGTTATAGATGCAGTATTATACAACAGAAACCTTTGTTTGATTTTTCCCAGTTTTCTGATATATTGTTCGTTAGTTCTAGTGGGTCTGGCTGTGTTAGATAAGCCATTTGTGTTTATTATGTAGGCTATAACAGTTGAATACGGTACACCGCTGGTACGTAACTGCACGTTCGTTAGCTAGAGACGATTCACTACACGCTGTGTAGGCTAGAGACGACTGATGGCACCTGTGTAGGCTCGTATTCACTACACGCTGTGTAGTCTAGTCTAGGAAGTTCGGCTACGGTACGGTACTGACCTGACTTAACTTCACGACGCTGTGTTCGTCTAGTTGACCGCTGCTACCATGAAATGTTGTTCTTATTGTTGTTTTATGTGATAATGCACAGTACTGGAATGATTTACGAATCTATCGGGCTTATAAGTACGGGAAATGAAACAACAGCGCCACCAACGTAATCAGTAAATGAACTGTCTTTAATGTCGACTATCAATATCAGAACTATTCACTGACAAAGCGATTCACTGAAATATAGATAAAACAAATATTCACCTTCATGTGAATAGAATTATGTAATCAACATAGTAAACATGATTCAACATTGCATCACAATTATCATTAAAATAAAGAAATAATCAGTAATTAGTCCTAGAGAAAATGGTTAATCTACTCTAGCTTTGCTTTCACACTAAATTATCCATATTCCTAATGATAGAATAATTTCATTAATATTCATGATTACCATGACAACCAGAGAGTACAACTGACTGGCCGCATCTCGCTATGCGATGGAGTAGCGAGCGACGAAATTCCAAAAGTCAGAGCCAATTTTAATTAGCTCTAAATCTAACAACATTTTAAGATATGGATGCAACACTTTTACAGTAGAATAATAAGATACTGTATTCTAAAGAGTCAACAAACTGTATATATTATACGTAACTAGCACCACCAGCACAGCGCTGGCTCGACGTGCACGGCTCTCGGCGTGCACACATCTCTCAGTCAGTATACAGTCCCTAGGCTAGTAGTACTAACGCATCACAATTATTAGCTATGCAGGCCTACATATTATCAACAACAGAACTGATAGGCGTATCATCACAATGACGACATGGCGTGTGTGCATCGTTGTTGTTATTGTCTGTATAAACAACACTAAATCTGGCGACGAGAGAGATAGAATGGCGAAAGTAAACATCCCTTGTGTCGCTGCCTTTGACAATGTTGTCGCTGAGTCTTTGGACATGTCTGTAGGTCCAAAATGGGAAGCGT